TCATAATATTCTGTATATAAATCATTACAATTTAAATTACGATAATTATTAAAGTACACACACTTATAGGATTATTAAAATAGAAATCAATCTTTAATTTCAGCAATTGTAGAAAAGGAAAATCCGAAATCCGCCATATTGGCAAGTTAAAATATATATATAGTGAAACTATAAAATAGACTATAACAATTGCATAACATATAAGAATTATATATATATATATATGTATATAATACAATGATAAAAACAATAATACATATATATAATATTGTTTTGTAAATTTGTTCTCATCGGGAATCGTGACGTTTTTTGTGTTTCAAGTGGAACCAATTTGAAAGTTACTTCGCTGTCTCGATCCCTGGTCAATCAATAATCGCATAAACGCATAATATCGCGTTTCATTAACCAGCTAGGGAACGATCTCGGTGAGCGGCGGGGATTTCAAAATTAACACCTTTTCTAATTTCCCTCGCTGTTGGTATTTACTGCTGTGCAAACTTAATATACTGTCTCCCTTGTGCCTCTCGTTACGAGTTCGATCGTCCTTTGCCATAGGAAGAGGACTCCGTCGGGTCTCATTTGACTCTGCGACGCGACACGACCAAGTTTTACGAGTTGATTAGCTTATCACTTTTGATGCGTGCACGCGTTATGCAATCATCACGTTCGCTTCACTCGCATTTCGAAAATTTCGGTACCAGCATCCTGTGCATCTCGATATATCGTTTGACAGTTTGTGAAGAAGTTCTAAGAACTTTCGCGGGACAAGTTCACTTTGAATTGGAATGGATTGGAGACTAATTTTTAAATTCTCGAGCATGGAATTTGAAGTTCTCGAAACTCTCGATGCTTGGAGAATTTTTAATTTTATTTTATAAGAGGAATTTCTTCTCTTCAAAACTGGAGTTAACGCGTAGAAAAATCCTTTCTTCGTCGACTGTATGTACTGAAAAATCTTTAAGAGTATATTGTTTAACAAGATATTTCTTTTCTTTTCTTCAGATTTCGGATATTTCGTATTATCATTCTAGAATCGATTAGATATCAAATAATAAGAATTATAAGTCCATGCCTGGGATCTTTTTATTCTATATCTAGTTTGTTAAATATAATAAACTAGATTTTTGTAAATTCTATATCTAGTTTGTTGAATATAATAAACAGTCCCAACTTTCCTTTTATATTGTACTATATCGAAGATGTTTTTACATTATGCTTATCATACTTAATTTGTAGCACACTCCTCGTTCATTATTCTTAATAATTTTGAGCACTTGGAAGGGCTAATTTGAAAGTTACACTTCTCAGCACCGATCGTGGTTTCGAAGTTTTTCTGTCTCTCTGAGTTTTTAGAGAATTAAATTAAATTTAATGAAAATTAGAATATTCGAAAGTTTGTGGTTTAAATGAAACTTTAAAATCCAGTACGATAATTTCTCTTCTTCTGTTTTGTGAAATTTAAGAATAGAGAAAAATTCTCGAAATTACGGGATAATTTCCAATGCGTTTGATGATATTGCAAATGAGGGATGGTAGAACAAACTATTGGGTGTGGCAATCTTACCTTTATAAGATTTCCTTCGTGCAGGGTGCTCAATGATGGCCTTTTAGCACGACGACTCAATCTACAAACAGAAACGTCCCTGTGAATCCCTGTAATGGATTAGTGAGTGTACAAGACTAATTAAATTAGTATATATGTCGAATCATATGAAATAAGGGTTAATATCGGTAGAACGATATTTCACAGCGCTTGAAACAGTATACCTCAAAACGACATAACGATAATTGAGAATAATTAATTAGTGTGTAATAACAATTAAGAGATTACCAACAATATGTGACGTATAGTTAGATTGTGAATTCGCCAAGTTTCAAATATTTGAAATAGAGAAAGAAGAAGGAATTTGGAAATTTTACGGATTTCAATTAATTGCTGTTCTAAGTATGGGCAATGTTTCATACATTTTGCTAAAAGAATAATGCGATTAAATCGATCAGGTTTTTCGACGAAAATCTACATGCAATTATTACTATCCATGAGAAATAGAATTTGAATATATAAAAATTTGTTTTATATATTCTTTTCTGTGTATTATACATGTTTCACATGTTCTTAAATGGCCTACAAGTACATGAAATTAACTAATATTGTCTACTAATTATAATTATAATAATATGAAGATATTTGGTACATTTCAATGCAATTGTGTAGTAGATTTCGTAACTTTGAAGATCTAGTAGATCCTCACAGATTTATTACATTTCTACTTACTTGAGCTTTTCATTCGACTAATCAATAAATCCTTGTTATTTTCTTTGAACACACAGAATCTCGCATATCGATCTTTTGTCCTTTATTCCAATATCGAATCCTTTATAACGAAATGACATATTCTCAAGACCTTTTATCAAGATTCATCAAATTTTATCGAAAGTACAAATCATGTTCAAAATTTATTTGAAAAATCCTATAAAAAGAACATCTGAGATATCCATTACTCGTTGCTCGTATACTTTCTGTCAACTTCGGAAGGCATTGAGGACAAATGTTACGCGAGAAAGTCGATCACGGGGGGG